TACTAAGCTGTCAGAGAGGCTTCATTCAATCAAACTAGCAACTTCATACCAGCTAACAAACAATCAAACAAACTCAAAATTATACAAAACGAAATTAAACGAACATCAAGAAGTGTTGACAAATTTACCGTGCTTATGGTTAATGTCGTGGCAACCGCATGGTCGTAACTCAACAGTTCGGTGACAATTGACCTTAGCTGAAGAATACAATCGCAAGTCGTCGCGATGAGTTACTCGATAGCTCATTACTATAGCAAATGTGAGAACAGACTACCTCACTCATGTCGTCGGTTTCCTGGACTAACAATAATGACCTATAATAGCGCACCCAAAGTGAGGGCACGTGTGGAATTATTTCTTATTTATTTCTGCTACTCTGATAAAGAAGTAGCTATCCCAGTGATTTTTCCCAGTCATCAAGATATCGCTCTCGGTGACCTAGCAGCTCTATACGAACGACCTCACCGTACAGAGCTGTACTGCATTGCACGTCATCAATAACATTGACATTCAAATCCGAGGAAATTACCTCCTCAATATTTGAGTCTGGGATAGCTAGCTGCCTAAATTATCTAGTCCTGAATATTTTTCCACTTGCCTTCTAATTAATTCTAAATCTCGGAAATTAATTGTATCAAATTATATTTTTTATTGATTTCTCCTCACACCCAATAGTTTTGAGTTGTCAAATAGGCTAGGGTATCGTCTCATTTTATATTCTATTTGTGCTCGCAACCATAATTTGAAATTGCATTGTTATGACTAAGATTATATTGATCTGAAGTACACGAACAAACTGCATTTCAGTGGCGTGGTGATACACGTGGCGAAGATTTGCTCTAAGCTACGCGTCAGTTTACACGCGAAGGCTGAGAACCGCACCACACTCGTGTGTCATAGCTTCGTGAAGGTAAGGAGAGTAATAACCCAGTCGTAGGTTGTTATCAGGTCACTTACATGCCGTTCCTTTTTGTAGCTCTCTCTAGGGGTTAGAGTTCAAGGAAAGGCGAAGATGGATCAGAGCATCTAGATGATGCGGCTTCGAAAAAGTGAAGGAATATTCGTCCTTATTTCAGCACGATAATATCACACCATCTGGAAGTTACTGTCTGGAATCGACTAAGATGGTCGAATGCAGAGATTAATAATTCAACCTGGTTAGATTAATAAGCTTCTCAGTTGGAGCTTCCTTGTTGAGGCTTCATTATTTTCGCATGTTTTTTAGAATGACGGAAAACTGGATTTTAGTCTGGATTATTGTTCTAAACTACACATATTTGGGATCGCATCGATAACGAGTTCCTCGCTTCTAGACAATAATTCAAACTTAGACAGGGGAATTTAAGAAAAATATCTCCAATGTATCCAATTGGAAATAAGTAAACATTTTACTTCGACGGTCTCACTCTAGGGCGCATCCGCAGACGTCGGCTAATCTTTACGGTCTTGTTTGGCAAGCTTCAGCGCAATCAAGTTTTTTCCAGAAGCGAAGAACGCTGCTGTTTGCTCCCAGTATTCGATTGCGCGCTGGTATTGTCTTTGTTTATGGTATATTTTTGTGCCTCATTTGTCAGATGGGTGCAAAAATTACATGACTTGGTTTGAAAGATTGCTTTGCAGACCTCAGGAGCTGGAATGTTGTTTACTCCTCTGCTGCACGCATTTTCACCGATAGCAAATCGTATCGGGATGATGAGTTAAACTCGTAGAAACGTGTTAAGTTAGAGCAAAGAAAACCTCGTTTATTTATACTGTTTTTATAATCTAAATTGCAAATAAATTGGTGATTAAAAAAACATTTACATAAATATTCAGAATTGCAATCTTTTGCGCACCGCCTAAAATGTTTAACTCAAAAAATTATTTCTTAAATACTCAACAGAACTTTCATCACTAAATTTCGACTGAAGCATAATCAAAGAAAAATCGGTGCGCCAATATCAATTCACATCGAACAAGTTCTTTTAATAATAGAGCTTTTGAGCTTATGATGCTCGGAACACATACTTGAGCTTTAACAATGATGAGGTATGCAATGGTAGGAGCTTTACGATCATATCGCCAGAGGAGACATTCTTTCTTACCTGGGCTTCGACAATATCACAATGACTAGGAACGCGAATGCAGAGCATGTGCTGTGATAATTTTGGATTAAGTCAGTATGTCTTATCTTCCATTACTCAATTTAAACTCAACGATTTAACTCTAATATATAATTAGAAACCAGAGGCACGTTATTTATCGTTTTGACGTGGTCGTAAGTTAGGGTAAGGACAATTTCTTGCTTCACGCCTGCAATTTCCAGGCTTGGTCGGAACCTGATTTGTCCCTGGATATTGGAATTGAGATGTTTCAATTTTTATTAAATACACATTACGTTTTTGCTCGCCTATGCTACTCCACATAGTACAGAGTCAGCGTTTTAATTTAAGTTTTAAACTTTAGTGTTTCGATTGACATTTATAATTTGAGTTTTTGCATATGACGATAAACTTAGTAGTTTTAACAGGATCAGCTGTTTTATGGAGCTTTAAATAGAAATTTTCGTCGTCAATAAAATACCGTCCCAAGCTCCTTCCACCAATTCATAAAAAGAGGATTATTCGCTAAATATTAATTTTGGATTTCGATGCCTGAACTCAAAAAGTGCACGCAGTTCTTGTGTGTTTGTTTGTCTTCAATCTTTAAACGCGATGATGCCTTTGTTCAATCAAATGCACATTCTTCCTGCTTCAGATTGTTGATCTTTGTTACCGCAGTACAACAAAGTACGGTGGCGATGTGAGAAGGCTCACCGAGATGTGCAATTCCTTAAACGGCTTAGCACTTTCCACAAAGAAAAACTTTAATCGCTCTTTGTTCATTGTATAGTCAGAGCACCAATATGTTTTAGAGTAATGCAGATGGTCATAAATTGATTATTTAACCTTCAAATATTTTTTAATTTCCCTAATAGTTCTCCTAAAAATAACTACAATAGAAAACCATGCAAGCTTGCAACGAAATTCAAGTTTACTCGCGATTTATTGCCGAATTTTGCATAAAATATTATAAGTTTTAGGTTTAAACTTTTGTCTAATGAGCCTGCGTACCTAGTTCATTGTTACAAGCATCTTTGACGCCAGTTGATCTATCATGTGACAAAAGGTTGAATTACTTAGTATCAAAAACTTAAGTAGCAAAACTCAGTTCATCATTATTTATGCATGCATCACCAGGTAGGATCGAGTCCTTCATTTAGTTCTCAGTTCTCTTTAGGTCGCGAGGATTACATTGCACTGAGCTTAGCATATCAGACGGGAACACGGTGGGTCCAAGAACACAGCTGTTGAGGACGCTAAGGTTTTTACTAGTGGGTTGGGGTTTAAAATTCCTTTTCTTACAATTTTTTATTTTTTTTTGCTGTTTCTAAATCAAATGTCAAAAATTACGATGAGCTTCTCAGTTATTGGGCTCTTAAGGAAATGGTAACGTCGGCATTAATTGGTGCTCACCAGAGGGTATCACTAATGTATGTTTCAATCAAATGGGATAAAACATTATGAGTCAATTTCCATAATAAAAAAACAGTTTGATGATCATATATCATTATGTTACCATTGAAAAATACATCTAGTTTGTTTGAAATATTCAGTTTGCGAAAACTTCAACGCGTCCAATAAAGTGATCCTGGTACGAATTGAATTACTAGTGACTGGGATGAATATATGGTGAATTTATTGATGAAGAATAATCTATTGCAGCACAAAGATTAATATGTTACTCAATGATGGATATGTTATATTTGCCTTGGTCCCACAAAACGGAAGCTTCTCTCAAGGAAACATCGACGCATGCTAAAGAGTGATCCAGCTTTCCCTCGCATTTTGCGTTTTATAAAACATTCAATTTTAAAAAGAAAGACTACGTAGAAATTATTTAAATTAAAATTTTATCGGCATAATACCACGAAATTTTGTTTTTATTTAGATATTGGTCATTTCTAGAATATCCAAGTTTTATAATGTGTTAATTGAAGTGGGATTAGGGTAATTGAGACTCTCAGATATCAGGGATTATATTTCTTCAGTAACGTTGTGTTGAGATGCTAGCATTTTTCATTGAACAGCAACTCCGATGCACATTCAGGACTAAACAAAATTGTCACCAGTTTCATGTTATCTGAAACCTTAACTTTACTGAACAGTATGTTTATCATTTATTATCATATTAGAGCATTACCATTGCATTTAATTCAACTTACATTTAAGACTAAAATTTCTTCATATAATTTGGCATTTCAAAGGGTTTTTTAATATTCAATGCTTCTAAAATATGCTAAATCTGATCGAGTATTTTCCGTGCCGTAGTTAGACTTTAACTCTCGTTTGAACGTTCGCGTGCGGAGCCAAGAATGAGATAAAGAAAACAAAAAGGTAAGAAAAATAAGATAAAATTTCAAAAATTCCTTTAACTCCAAAATATGGGCATTATTGAATAAAGTGTAAATATGGCTAAGAATGTACAATTTTCATGGATAAGACTAGGCAACTTATAGTGAAGTGATTTTTTTCTGTCCTTATCCTAAAAATTAGTTGAATATTTTCAACCATATATATTTATATATTCGACACACACAATTCCCAATTATGTGTCTAAAATTTTTACTATAATCTCACCTCCAAAACTAAAAGCAAAGATTAAAACAGAAAATCGCTGCAAATTTCTTGGCTCCACGCAACTGGTATGAATTTTTGGTCCTTAGGAGCTTTGAAATGATTAAGGCAAATTACGTGAATTTTTCAACATCGTCGTAACTCGAGCATGGTACAGCATATGCATTTTCTACTCACTAAACGATCTTTTTTTGAAAGGTTAACTAAAAATTCCAGTTGTAAATGAGCAGAAGAAATGAACAGGTGTGCGTCAAAAGTGAAGGTGTAGCGGCGGAGTGAGGTCACTAGAGGTAGTAGAGGCTGCAGCGTGCCAAGAGTCCAGCATCTATCAGTGTCGCAGAGGCAACTCGACTGAGTGCAGCGAGCCTCTCAAGTCCTCCGAGACTTGCTCGGTGCCCCTCACAGCAACGCGACACTCTCATACTGGAAGTGTTCGGTCAACTTAAAAGAGTGTACGTGTACCAGGCCTAGAGCTGCCACTGCATGTGATGTTAATTTAAATCTCGCTGCCTGACTTGAAATGAATTCCATGCAGAAACGGATAATAGCTCCAAGAATTATTGGATTGGATGTCTGGAAAAATGATCAATTCTTCCAATACTGTTACAGTTAGGCCTGAAATAAGTGATGAAGTAACTTCAAATGAATTAGTTAAACTAGAAGCTACTCATCATGCCACAGATGAGTCTCAAGAAAATGAGAATGTTCTTCCAAAATCTGAAAGTGTTGAGTCGGAGCGCCGTGGAGTTAAGAGACCCATCGATGTTGATGACTATGTGGATGATGACGATGAGTGCAGCTTTGACAGTGAACAATTTAAAGATGATTTAGATGAAGATAGTAGTGAAGATAAAGTTTGGGAAACGTTCCAGGGTTTGGGAAAGCAGAGAGGAGGCCGACTGAGCCGTACCTATGGACTTCGGCCTCGCACCGGAATCCGGCGTGCTTGGGTTGACGGAGAGACTCCCCCAGTCCGCGGGGCCTCCCGCCGGGGGAGAGGCCGGTCAAACGCTCTCAAGTCTAAGTACAGGAGAAACACAGCCAATGCTCGAGAACGAGATCGAATGAAGGAAATAAATGTGGCTTTTGCCAATCTAAGAGGCGCCTTGCCTTCATTTACATGCAGACGGATCACGTCCATGACAAAGATCAAAACTTTAAAGTTAGCTGCTTCCTACATCCGAGCCTTAAGTGACTTATTGAGTGACTCACCATCAGAAGAATCGAAGACACTAGCATTGCAGTTGTTCCAGGATATTCCAGAGCAAAATAACTTTGTGAATTCGATCCGGCACACGCTTGATGCCAACGTGGCGTGTGGGTCTCAATCTTCTAGCGCCTCCTCAATTAACAACCACACAGTACACACATCAACAATGAGCACTAACACTGTTAACCGCCCCTCATCAGCACTCGAGGCGGCTCTCACTAGCACAGCCAAACGTCCTGCTTATGCAATGGGACAAGGACAGCGTTACTATTCTCAAGGCCACCACTTAGCTTCAAGACCTAATTTCGTTCCTCCTCCGCCTCTTCAATTACCTAGCATGAATAGTACTCTAAATCTTCATCCATCTCCTACTCAGCATTCCCCGTGCGCTTCTGCATATCCTGTTTCTCCAGTAGTTTCCATAAATTCTTTGGATTGTTCTCTCCAACATAATTACTCAAATCCATCACCAACCATTATTACCGCGAATGTAAACGTAATTCAATTATGTCAAGAAACTTCCACATCTGAACGGATCACTATGCTCACGCCCAACACCTCTCCCGCATCCTCTCAAACGTTCATCCCTCAGTCCCCATACTCCCCTTCTCCATCTGTACATTCAACTACCTGCTTGCAACCAACTTATAGTGAGTTTCCAACTAACTCGACTACCCCTTTACCAGACAGCTCAATTTCCAGGACTTTTTATAAATCGAAAACTCCCATGGCATCCATGAGCCCTGATATAAGTTCAAACAGTCAAACACCGTCTCCGAGCTTCAGCTTCAAAGAACACATAATGTATAAATCAAAAATATCTGGGTCTCAAATTTACTCCCATTCATCTGCACATGTACAGCCAAATCATCAATCATCAGTATTTTTCGAAAATTCTTCACCTATTCCCAATTCCGCCCCACCCAACTTACAAACAACTCTGCACCAACCTTGTGAAACACAACCTACGGGTTCGACTCATAATTTTCTGCGTAATCTTCCACCCAAGAATGCACTTTCACCTATGCCGCAAGCCGTTGAGCCCAACCTAAGCAAATACTCCGGTTTGAAAGAGACGCAATTTCAATCGAGCACGACGACCAAGGCAGGAAACTCTCCGAAGCCAGAAACGTCTTTTGTTCCAGGAGCTCACTCATTCCAGGGCTCCAAAATTAATGCTTCGAGTCAGAGCTTTTCCCATACACCAAGAGCGTGTCTGGACTCTTCGGCTTCTGGTCTACAGGAAACTCCGGACACCAGTTGCCCGTCTTGGAATAATGTTAACGTAGAATTTAATTCTTTACTAGACGAACCTGAGTGTGTACCAGAAGAACCTTCCTTGAATTGGGATGAGCTTTGTTGGTCATTAGGATGATGTTTTTCGAAAAATAGGCTCAAATATATCTCCTCTTTTAAAGAGCATTGTCGGATGATTGAGGCATAATACGCATGATTTATTGTCGCTCCATGCGTTTCTAGTCAAGAATATTGTGATTATAACGTGTTGCTAAACTATGTTTTGTTGTTTTTTTCCGAGAATATATAACTTTACGGTGTACGCAATCATCGTCGGGATGATAAGTTTTTCCTTTCGACCGAATACAAATCAGTTATTGAAAATTAATTTCAATTCGATATAAAAATTCTTTGACGATAATTCATTTCATGCTGCCATGTTTTAATTCTTAGCAATGCTGAGTATTTTCGCTTCGCTCATACTGATCATGCTGGGCTGCGTATCATAACTCTAAATGATTGACGGCCCAAGTGTCGTGTTAGTTTTCAAACGCAGTTGTTGTCAACGTTCACTGGCATTGTGTGTTGGTCTTAAGGCCGATATATTGCGCTGAACAAACAAGTGAGGCCGAGATTGGCCCACGAATATCAGTATTCATAGAAATTTCTTGCAAATAGCTTAGGTGGTAGCTGGCTCTGCAATCTGTAAGACAGAGGGCGCTGTACATCATGGCTAAGATCAGTGACACGGACAGAGACAGCTGAATGACTCTGCCATCAGTCCTAGCGAGCGTTTCGTTGCAAAACATTCTCCTGGAGCGTACAAAGCGTAGATTAAGAACTCGAATTAATTTTTGTTTATTGATCACTTTATTATTTTATGCGCCTAATTTTCTGCAAGTTTATGTTTTATTCAAGTGCGATATGTAATCACTGAATTCTGTAGTTATATTAAAAATTTTGTTGCTGGTACATGTTTCTTGAAGTGTAGTTATTGCCTCAAAATATTTAGGCTTTATGCTAATAATATTATTTTATTTATTTGTCCATATTTCATGTGTTATTTTCAGTTAAATCTGTTAGCTTAGGAATATTTGTAGTATTTTTATAATGTACTTGAATATGTCCTCGTGAACCTGTGTCAACAAGCAGTCCCTAAAATTTTCACAATTCTGTGCATTGAATTTTAACTCTGAATCTCCTCGAAAATTAATTTCATGATTACAAAATTTATTAATAAAAATAATTAATATCGTGTCCGAAACACTGCAAGCTCTAGCTAGGAGTGTGGTAAGCAGTGTTCGTGAAATTGTCGCTACCGCCGGGACAGGCAGAGAGATTATCGTGTCGGGGGCCTGAGCGCATGACAAGCTTGTAATTAGATTACGCCGTTACTGCACGAGCGCGTCAAACACGCATGACCGCCTGTCCAGCTCTGTCTCTCGTAGCTCTACAATAACAGTGTTAAAGTAGACTTAACGTGTCTATACTGTCACTATTGTTATTTCAATTGAGCAAGTGAGAAGCCATTATGGGTTTGCTGGTTCCTAATATTCACAATTTTTTAGGTCTCAATTGCATGTACCGAAATTTTTTATCGTGCTGTTCATTGTTGTACATTCTACATTCAATAATAAGACAATAATTGAAATATTGTTATATTAAATTGCAGTCGTAGCTAGCTCTCAAATTCTTAAAGCACAAATTGAAAACAGATACTTCCCACACTTGATTGCACTGTTATATTTATCTTTACTGGCTCAAAAATGAGATTTATGTTTTCGCAAGCTTAGGTCTTCCACCCAATAAGTTTCCACTCGTCGCTTTCTAATAATGAAAGTTAGATTCTCCAGCAGATATCAACGAAAGGCTTTCTTCCTCAATTTGAGTTCACGAAGCGTTCACGAAGAAATGACGGAATAGAAAAAAACATTTCCATGGAATTTTTTCGTGTGTTTACTGTTATCCTCGTGGTATTTTCTCGGTAGACAGGCTCGGTTGACTAATGTTTAAAAAGATGCTTCGCCTTAGAAATGGATTCTACCGTTTAAATTCGCTCGTTTAAATCAAGAGATTTTGGCGAGATTTTTGAATTTTACAATTTTGTGTACATTCGCTTGGATTTACTTCACTCTTTCATCCGATGTCTCCATTACCTCATTAATTTTTTCGTGTTTGACTGCATCAAAACTGATGACTTAGTCAGCTCCGTTTGCTCATCGTTACTTGGAGTTTATTTAAACAAGTCATGGGAGAATTTTGTGCCTCCTCATGATGATAAATCGTAGGACAATCACCAATCTGTTTAATAAATCTGAATTGAATTCGGAATTTTTATTAAGGTCCTTAGCCTCATCTAACAAAATTCGAATAAGGTTATTTTTCGATCTTCAGTGTTAAGAGATAATTTGATGCCGTTGCATTTGATTGTAAATAAAGAAGGATTTCTATAAATGCAGCTGCTCTGCAATTCTGCCCTTTCAAAGCTGTAATTTTTTAGAAACTTTTAGTACCTTAAAAAATATGCAGAACTTTAAGTAAAGTGTGCTGTTTTTGCTACTACAACAGTTTCCTGTTTTTTCAAAGATTTATGAGGATACTGACAGCAACTGCTTTAAATAACTTTTTAACATTTCGATTCATATGTGTGCTGTCATATGAGACTTGCAGAGTATAAACATCCTCGTACGTCGGCGAGAGCCGCTCAAGGTTTGCCAAAAACAAACTTTGCAAGCGACAGCAAACTTTTGACCACATCCGACATTCTCATCGAATGATGACTTAAGCCTATCATGGAGGCTTGACATGTAAAAATTCCTAAATCTGTCTCTACAAAATCAGGAGAGCATCATCGTCGGCCAAACTCGAGTCGGTCTGTGCCCGCTGACAATCCGCATATTATTCGTAGCAGAATAGAAAACGAAAAACAAGATTCTTCTTATTTTACATATGCTCCGAATAAGTTCCTTTATTGTCGATATTTTTACGGAAAAAATAAGAAGAAAAACTAAATTGATAAGCTAATAAACTAAACTAAAATTGAATTGAATTTCTGAATTTCAAGAAACTAAAAGTTATCTCAAGCCATACATATCAAACCCAACTGAAAGTTTAGCTGCCAAGTAAATGTTAATAAAATTTCAAATTCCAATAAATGATTTAACGAAGCCTCTGACGCCACCAATGATGATTGAAGAGATACAATAAAGAATACAATTAACGAATGTGAAACTTATGCTATCAAACATTCTTAAAAAGTTAGTGGATTTTTCCGTAAATAGAGATAAATAGGATCCTATACTATATTGGAGATTAAATGCTTTTCTGCGACTCATTTCTACGAAGCCTGTGAAACGCCACCTTTTTCAGCTTTCGACGCGATCAGGAAGCCTCGAAAAATGAGTGATTTGCTGGTAAAAAGTTTGCCATGCTGCCTGTGCGGCAGCCGAGAATTCAGCAGGGACGGCCGAACCTGTGCGCGTCGTACGCGTCCGATACGATCTCGCACACATCGTGCGGCCGAGTATTCACAGCCGTCGCCATGCGTCGATCGTGCGAAGCTCGCGTTTGATAAGAGGGAGAAACCCTGCAGTCCGTAGTTTCTGGGTAAATTAAATTCATCCCGCGCAAAGTTATGGTCGAGATGGCGATTCGATAATGAGATTATCAACAAAATTAGAGGATGCGATGGGAATCTTCCCATGACACTTTATCCACACTGAGTTTCAGCAATTTTCACGAATATGGGATGGGATCTTCACAAAGACTGACATCAGACTGCATAAAAATTTCTATTTCATATTCAGTCATACATGGGCGATTATTCAACGGAACTCACTTCACAGCTATCATTGAAGTGAGTTTTCTTGAATTCACTGCATTCATTAAACTTGATCTATTTGATTTAACAATGACATACGTAAATCATGTCGGGGCAACTGCACTGAACTTCAATGTTCTTAAAAAATGTTTTTTAACCCAGTGTTTATTTTTATTTTTAGCCATTTTAAAGCTCCGAAACACTCATCATTTGGCTTTTTTATGAAATGAACGACCGTTTCACGATCATATTAAAAATATAGTTTTTTAATCATTCTATTTGAGTCCTTGCAAGTCGATTAACAATTCTAATAGTGTATGATTCATACAGAATAGAGTTTGAAAATTATTTGCCGTCTTTGGAAACCAATATACAACATCAAATGTCAATTTTTTGAAGTGAGATATTATAATTTGAGCATTCCAGCCTCATTTGCAGGCTGAACGCAGGACTCGTGAGGGCCCACTGCGTTGGAAGGCTAATGTATTCTAAAGGTCACTTCAGTCTCAGTAATATAATAGTCAGGTTAGTTACTGGCTCTTTTCCTCACAAATGAGAGAAAATGTTTCAAAAGAATTTCACTTGAGCTCGGGGCCTTTTTTTGCTTTCTCAAGGAACATTTTGTGCATGAGGAAGCTTAGGTTTCGTCACGGTCAGAGATTTCGCTATGCCAAGTCTTCTTATGAATTCATTTTCATTTCACGTGTAGAACTGCAGACGTTGACAATCTGAAGATGTATATTACGCGAATGAAGGCTGGAGAACTTCATTCGTTATCGGGTAAAATTATGCTTGGCGTAGATTTTAATTTTTTTAAATGTAGACTTATTACAACAAATTTAAAGATAATCTATCAATGATTTCGAAGAATTGATCAAGTTGGTATCAGCAGTGCATATTTATTTTCACCCATGTTACCATATCCTACATGGGGCATACAAATTTATCGTATTTAGCAGGTGTTACACGGACATGACTAGCGTTTTTAGTGCACGTAAGGGCCTTGTTCCCAAAGCAATTGCAGCGACTTACGCACGCTAAATACCTTCTCTTTGACGTGCGCTGCCATCAAATAAGGACAGCGCAGACTATGGGAAATCTACAACCAATCACGCGAAAAACGTCGCACATTAACGTGCCACCGCAAACATTTCAATAACGCTTCAGGAATAGCTTATCCAATCACGAATGACGACAGATCAAAATCGTGGGAGGTCTCATGTATGCAAATCTATTTGTAATAATGACAACCCGAATCGAAGGAATAAGTTTCGTTAAAAACGCACGAGTAACCTTGCGCTGGCAAGCGGCCAAGTATGGAAGAAAACACCGAGTTTAACACCACTGTGCACCGTCGACGACCGTGAACTCGTGCTATTCAACACATTTTAAGCTAAAAAATTTTCAAGCTAGGATTTTCAATGCAAGCCTAATTTACTGGAACTCTTTTTAAATGCAAATTATTTTACCACAGTAAGTTAGCAAAAAATTTGGCACGTCTGAAAAAAAATAATTAAATTAAAATAGGAAATAGGACTTGGGAAGCATCTTTTCTACGTTCATCTCTGAATGAAACTTGTTTTAGATTCTTATGGCAGGAAAAGTAGATTTTCATTTAATACCAAAACGTAAAAAACCCTAGAATGGTTTAGCTATGAGCCAAATCCAAAAAAACTTATATATAAAGAATAAGAAGTTAAAGCAGTCTAAATTTAATAGTACTGAAATATCTTGGTACGTCATTATATCGGTACTTCAACAATACAATTGTATACGATGATACAGTCACGCAAGTTTCTGCTTGTGTCCCTCCACAATATGTGAGTTATTTGAATTTTTTTTCATTAGATAGAAGCATCACGCATTTATACCGTGACCGTGGGTGTAAAAAAATCCAGGGAAGTCGCTCATCAGCAAGCAAAGCTCGCCGCCACAAGCTTAAGAAAACCACTGCACCAATTCTTCATAAAACTGCGCAGGTGACGTCTTCTGGAAATGCAAAATAATAATCAACTCTATAATAGTGTGAAATCAATTAAATTTTGTGAGGAATGCAATTTTAAATAAGTTCTTACCACTGTGATTATTTAATGAATATTGATCGTGGAATGAATTCATCGCGAGATTTAACCATCACAAATCAAGAGTGAATGTCTAAGAAACCTTGCTTTGATTATCGAGTTAAAAAAATTGCGAGGGTTCTTGAATGCGGAAGTTTCATAATTGCTCTCCCCTCTAATATTATTCCTCCACTGGATCTCATGATATTACTCCTACACAGGCCCCCTAATAATATTCCCCGATATCATTACTCCTCCACAGGCTTCCCCTCATATTATTTCTTCACTTGATCTCCTGATATAATTATTCCTCCACCGGATTTAAAGATATATTCCTCTACTGGATCCCTAGCAATGTTGATGTGTGTGAAGTGTGCGGTTTATTCTCTCAGCATTCTTATTCACAGGGCGTGGTCTAAAATGTTTAACATCATAACTTTAATGTGTTTACTGTAGTTTTATTGGATATATTTTTATTCCTTTCATACGTATCTTAGTTGTCTTTGCTCGGATTGAATGAAGGTTTACACACTATTCTACAAAAAAAAACATTTTTGACGAAGCTAAAAGTTCAAACAGCTTGTCTGATTTAACACATAAGAGGTACTGATTATTGACGTGTTATTATGAGCTTTGTTTTGGATTATTGCGCTCGGCGCATGAAAGTTTGGAGTGCGTCGGCCGGAGCCTGGATTGGTCACGCTAGAATAACACGAGGGCCAGAGGTGCGATGAGGTCGTCGAGGCCAGCGAGGTTACATGCTGCCTCACGAGAAGGAATCGATGCATAAAAGACGAAAAATCATGTGGAGGAAAAAAAGACATTAAGAGGATAAGGCAGAGGCTCCCGCCAGGTGGGACTCCTTGACGGTTGTGCGGCTGAGTGGAGCCTGCTGAGGTAGAGAGTCCAGTGAAGGGTGAGTTTTTCTTCAAGGAATTGATGGACGTATTGGCTGGGCATGACTGAGTAAAACAGCTTTCAGGTGTCACTCTTGCATGTAAGTGATAGTCATGATGCATCTTCAGCATAATAGTCAGGTCGTATTTGCAGCTGTATGGATGGCTTCGGTGCGGCGCATGCCGTGTTCGCCGAGGTGATAAGAGGACTTACTCATCTCCGTGTCCCCGTATGAAAGAATCATTATTTTTCTCGACTGTCACATGCAGTGCCGCGTGCTTTACCGTATTCATTTCTCGAGTGCCGTTCTAGAAGGACCTCTACGTCTAGGAGGACCTCTGCACCAGCAATAATGTTCCCAGGTTTATGACACTTGCTGTCATCGAGGCAATTTCATCAGGAGATCAGTCGTCGAATTAAACTAATTTATGCTACCTGAAGGCGTTCTGAAGACCGAAGCTCTTGATATGCGGAACTTACAACTTACTGTGCTTATTAGCTGTGCCTACGATGTACAGAAGAGAGTTGTTTTTAGTTACAGTAGATA